AGCGGCCTCCCAGCAACCGGTACCTCCTCACTTTCGGAGGGAAACATCTTTTTTAGGCTCTGTTATTGTCCGGACAGGCCCTAGACCCGGGCTACTTGGACTGGTACCGGCCTACCTCTAGCCTACCGCTACTGGGCCTCTAAAAATGCCAACTTTTTGTCTTCTTCTGCTCGGCCTACCTGCTACTTGAGTGTTTTTCCCCAGCTGCTCTAAGTGTCGTGGGCCTACCCCCCGCTACCTGAGTGTTTACCTCCACTGCAACCCCCAAAGTCACGGCCACAGGTAAGTATCGGCCTTGCGGGGCCTTGCAACCAACAAGTACCCTTATGGGTCACACACACACTCAACCGACAAGCACTCAGACAGGCATGCAAACGGGCAGGCACGCACACGCACACAGACTTGGAAAACACAACAGAATGCGGGAATCACAGCAAGGCATTCATTCCAGTGGCAAATCCCAGAAATCGGCAGTGTTCTCAGTCTGTGTTTTGGCGAGTCATTACCTGCATAGCGATCCCGATAGGATTAGATTAGTGAATTATAATGGTCTATCTGTCTGTCAGTGACTGGATGTGAAAATCGCAGACTGCATGACAGCCATAGCCAATCTCTTCCCTACCTCTCTCTGCTCATTTCTCATCCTCTGTTGACTCCTTCTGATCCAAAATTGTTTCGTGACTGCTTTACTGCATTGCGATTATTCTGGGATGCTGAAATTGTGAATTTTGTATGAGAAAAGTAGTGAAACTGTGAATTACAGTTTAGCGTTGAGTCTATTTATAGCCTGTGCTAATTAGGGTCAGTCATAACTTTAATTCTGTCCGTCAGAATTCAAATATGTCAGTCCCCAGTGAAACGCAATCCAAAAATAGATAATACTGCAGAATCGCAGAGTTGGATTTACAGTATTTCACTGGATACAGTGAATACTGTACTTCGCCATACCCTAGGGTATGGCCGTCAGAGTCATCAGGGTCTAAATTGGAGTYTGAGTCAGGATACAGGGTGTCTGTCTGAATCGCTTGATTTGGTTGACCTCTCTTGTCTGTACTAACCATGTTCTATCATTCCCACTGACTACCCTTGTTCTCTAGTGGGCTCTGGAAATCTAGTGTGTCCCTGGAAGAGTAGTGGAGTGACTCTACCAACTCCAGTGTGGTGCAGGGTCAGTAAAAGGAAATCGTGTGAATGATTTTGTTGGACTTACAGTCTGTCTGACACCTGACTCCAGAGACACCCTTCCAACCCAAACCGCTGATTGCCTATACACCCACCTGTTCCAATGTGTGAGTTTTGCAGAGATTCCAGGGTGTCTGAAGGAATCTGAATCTCGCTGCATACTCGGGTTGCTGTTTATCTTTTGGTTTTGTATTTTTGAAAGGAAAAATGTCTGACCAGGGGGCTCAGCAGCAGCCACAGGTGGAAGTGGTGATGAAGGTGGAAGGTCAACAGCCTTCAACCTCCATTCCTCCTCCTCCACCTCTGACTGCTACTCAGCAAGAAAAGAAGGAGCCGCAAGAGCAGCTGCGGCGGCAACAGGACCGCCTGGCAGAGTTGGAACGTCAGGAGGCAGCTGAGCTAGAGGCTGCATTCCAGAAGGGAATATCTGTTGCAGCAGCTAGACAAGGTGCTCTCAGATGACCGCTGTGCACACGTGACTAAACACCTGGCAGAGATGATCATCCTGGAGCACAAGATCACCAGTTCTCAGTTCACAAACTGGGATGATCGTTTTGAGCGTTTGGAGCGTCGGGTTGACGACCTGGCAGCTCAGCAGTCCAAGATTTTGGATGCTATTCAGAGCTTGACTGCTCAGTTGTCAGCCGCCAAGCTAATTGCCCCTCAGCTCCCTCTGATCAAACCCAAACCTTCTCCTCCTTCTACACCTCCTTCATCTTCCCCTGGATCTGTGCATTCTTCCCGGACACCATCCCACTCCCAACAAGCCTCAGGCAAAGCCACCTATGCTGCCGTTACTGCAGGAGATAACAGAGGTCCCAAGATCCCTGCTCCCAACAAGTTCAGGGGCGATGACCCCAAGACCGATGTTGGGGACTGGGCTGCTGGGACCAAAGCCTACTTGAGGGGCTTTGTCTGTCCAGAACAGACCAGGGTGGCCACTGTTCTGGGACTGCTGGAGGGACCTGCATTGAAGTGGGCCACCTCCACCTCCAGCAGTCTGCAACAGTCCATGAAGTACTGGGCTTTTGGGCTTGGGGTGGACAGACTTCTGCAGGCCCTGGAGGACCGATTTGCAGACAAGGAGCGGGCCCGCAAGGCTGCTGACAGGATTGCTCGCCTGGGGCAGCAGCGGTACAGCGGCACCCTGCAGGCCTTGTTTGCAGAATTCGAGCAACTTACCTCCACCCCTGGGTTGGTCATGTCAACCGATGATTTACTGACCAACTTCTGCAGGGCCGCGCCTGAGAAGTTTGTTGTTGCCCTGTACAGCGCTGGGCACAACGACTGGAGGTCCTTTGGTCGTGCAGCCCTGGATATGGAGGCAAAGCTTCATGTTCAGGCCCCATCCTTTGACAGGAGGAAAGGTGCCTTCCCTAGAGGTGGCAGAAAGGGAAAGGCAACCTTTACTCATGCGGGATCTGCATCAGGTTCAGATTCAGATTCCCAGGCTGATGCACCTTCAACTGGGACTGGACCTGCTGCTGATACAGATGTTGCAGCAGTCGTAACTCAAGCTGTTTTGGGAGTTCTGCAGCAGCAGAAGAGGTTCACCCCCACCACAGCCTCAGCCAGTGCCAAGGGGAAGGAAAAGGGACGTCGGCCTTCCTCTTCCCAGCGCCCTAACCTGCCCAAAGATGTCTGAATGCCAGCTGACCCACTCAATCCCTCCACACTCCCGTGGCATGATCTCAAGATCCAGGAGGGAGTCTGGAGAAGAAGAAAGGAGAGAGGGGTCTGCCTGCGGTGTGAGGGACAACACTTTCTGAAGGACTGCCCTTGCATGCCAGGCCCGGGTCAGTCAAAAAACTGAAACAGACCCTGGGGATTGCAGTTCCCCCCAGTGTTGCACCTTCATCTACTCAGGTAGGTGAATCTGCAGTTGTTTCAGTTGAGACAGAGTCAGATTGTTTGGGGACTGCGCGGGCAGCATCCTTCTGCTATGAGGATCCTGACCCGGATCAAGACCCGGAACAAAATGAGCTTCAGGCCCTTGCTGCCTTCTTTCTTCATCTGAAGGAACAGAAGGAAAGCAAATCTGATCTCATCATGCTTCGGCCCCTGATCAACCGCACCAGGATCACTGGGCTATTGGACTGTGGGGCCACCAGGAACTTCATGTCTCCCAGTGCAGTTAAAAAGTTGTATCTGGGCATGAAAGTTCAGCAGCTGCAGCAACCGCTACTGGTGAGGATTGGCGACTCTACAATGCTCAGCATCATGGAGAAGGTCGAGGGTATCCCTGTGACCTTCGATAGTGTTGGAGAAGTCAGACACAGTCTGAACTTCTACATTTTCCCTGAGCTGCCCTTTGACTTGGTGTTCTCCATGTAGTGGTTGAAGGCAGTCAACCCAAGGATCGACTGGAAGATCCCAAAGGTTGAGCTACCTAATAACCAGGGTGTGTATCAGCCATGCATGATTGCTGCTGATCACCACCCTAAGACATCTTGCTACTGCCTGAGAGCGAGGGAGTTCCATGCTCTCTCACGCCAGTACCACCACGAGCGTCTGTTTATTGCTTTGGTCAAGCAAACAGATACTCCCCCTATTTCCTGTCCTCCTGAGATACAACAGGTGGTAGATCAGTATGCTGATCTGATGCAGGACCCCTTTGGGTTACCCAACCGGCCAACCAAGCATCACATCGAGCTGCTGCCTGGAGCCGTCGCTCCCAAGGGCTGCATCTACAGGATGTCCCCTGCTGAGCTTGAGGAGCTCAGAAAGCAGCTTGAGACCCTGACCAGCAAGGGCTGGATCAGACCCAGCACTTCTGAATTCGGTGCACCTGTTCTCTTTGTGCCCAAGGGAACAGCGAGTTCAGAATGTGCATTGACTACAGGGGTCTCAACAAGATCACTAGGAAAAGCACAGAGCCACTTTCTAGGATCGATGACCTACTGGATATGGTGCAGGGCTGCACAGTGTTCAGCAAAGTCGACCTCAAATCTGACTACCACCAGATTGAGATGGCAGAGGAGGATGTCTACAAGACAGCCTTCAAGACCAGGTATGGGACTTACGAGTTCTTGGTCATGCCATTTGGACTTTGCAATGCCCCAGGCACCTTCCAGACAGAGATGCACCGCATCTTCAGGCCTTACCTGGACAAGTTTATGGTTGTCTACCTGGATGATATGCTGGTATTCAGCAAGACTGCCAGGGAACATGCGAAGCACTTGGCTCTTGTCCTTCAGTCGTTACGTGACAGCCAATATAAGATCAACAGAGAGAAGTCCTTCTTTGGAGTTCCCTCTGTTACCTATCTGGGTCATGTAATCTCTGGAGATGGTCTGGCTCCTGAAGCAGCCAAGATTGTTGCTATTCAGGAGTGGCCCCAACCACAGACAGTGAGGGATGTCAGGTCCTTCATGGGTCTAGCCTCATACTACAGAAAGTTTGTCAGGAACTTTTCTGCAGTGGATGCACCCCTGACCAACCTAACAAAGAAAGATACTCCCTTTCTTTAGTCCCTTCCCTGTCAGTTGGCCTTCACACGACTCAAGAAGGCCTTGACTCGTGCGCCTGTGCTGAAGTTACCTGACCCCACTTTGCCATTCATCCTGACCACTGACGCCAGTCAGTATGGCATTGGGGCAGTTCTTCAACAGGATGATGGGAATGGTCTACGGCCTATAGAGTTTATGAGTAAGAAGATCAAGACTCAAAAGCTCCAAGACTCTACCTACGAGAAAGAGCTATATGCTCTTGTTTGTGCCCTAAAACATTAGAAGCACTTTCTCCTGGGAAGGCACTTCAAGATCTTTTCAGATCACTCCACCCTGCAGTAGATGAAGTCCCAGGGAGAGTTGAATGACAAATTGACACGGTACATTCAGTTCATAGACATGTTTAACTTTGAACTGAAGCAGGAGATGCGGAGTGATATGTTGCGCTATGTGGACACCTGTGAGCTCTGCCAAAGGAATAAGGTCCAGCGTAGACCTCCTTTGGGACTGCTCAAACCCTTACCCATACCTGATGGTCCTACCCAATATGTGGCGATTGATTTCACAGATCTAGGCAAGACCACCCCTCATGGCATGCGTCAGGTTATGGTTTGCGTGGACAGGTTCTCCAAATACGCAGAGTTCATCCCCTTGCCAGAGGTAGCTAGGGCCCCGATTGTGAGAGCAGCCTTTTCAGAGAGGTGGGTCACACACCATGGACCGCCCACTTCTGCAGCGATGAGTGGCAGTCCATTGTAAGGATTACCTGCACTCACGATTGGACATGACTTTTGGTCATCATCCTGAAGCCAATGGTCAGGCTGAGGTGATAAACCAAGTCTTATTCCAATTGCTGCGTCCTGTCATCTCTCCAGATCAGCAGGACTGGGATCTTCACTTGGCTAGGGCACAACTCATGTATAACATGTCTGTCCACTCCTCGACAGGGTTCAGTCCCTACCGGTTACACTGGGGACGCGAACCACGACAGCCTCTCGATGACATCATCGACAAGGCTAAGCCTGATCTGACACCAGGCACAACAGAGTTCACCAGACGTTATCGTCTGGATGTGGAAAGAGCACGAGCGAACTTGTTCAAAGCCCAAAAGGCTATGATTGAACAAGCTAATCGCCACAGGCGACCTTCCCCCATCCGCACCGGTGATCATGTCTGGGTGGCCAGTTCTGAGCTGTCGAGGGAGGAAGATATTTCCCCCAAGTTGTTGCCACGCTACCTAGGTCCATGGAAGGTCCTAGATACAGTGGGCGCTGATCCCTTCGGTCCGTCGTATGTTATTGACGTCCCGCTGCATTTACGCACCTATCCGGTCTTTCATGCATCTAAGTTGTTGCCATTTACTCCAGCTGATGCATTCCCTGACCGGCCCCCTCAGTTCGGTCCACCAATCCCTGGCAAGGGATATGATGTGGACAGGATTGAGGACGAGTGGGCACAGGCCCCGGTCGACAGTATCTTGTGAGGTTCGCATTCCAGCCTCCTTCTGAGAGCAGATGGTTCTACAGAAGGGAACTTCTCAAGACAGCAAAGACTATTGTGTTGCGATATGAAGCGGCTCAGAAGGGCAACCTTCCTCGCCGTTCACCTCGCCTGCATCCCTAGCTCGGAGGTCCTCGCTCCTGAGGAGGGTAAGCTTGCAATGACTTGCTGATTCTTATTGTCGAGATTGACTGCGAGGGTGTACACTAACCAGTAGGGTTAGATTCATAATTTTGTTTGGCTGAGGGCTAACCGAGAGACCTAACTGTGAGGAAAATTCGTGAGGGACATATCTGCAAATTTGGGAAAATATAGCCCTAACACTAACTGAATTTCCTACTACTACCCTAACTGCGAATAGCAGGCCCGGGCTACCCCGAGGACAGACAGACCCTAACTGGCCTATAGGTCCTATAGCCTACAGCCGGGTCCGGTAGAGGCCGAGAGGCCGAAACAGGAACGGAACCGGTCGGTCAGTCAGTCCGGTCTAGGTCTAGTGTAGTTTATAGATAGGTTAAGGCCATCGGTTCAGGACTTTTGGCAGTTCATTCCTCGCGAAGCAGCGTGGGAGAAGCCAAGCAAGTTGGTGGCGGTGTCTGTCTGCAGGCGGCATCCTGAGACTTCGCCGTTGACAGCAGCCATAGCCGGCCCAGTCTGAGTCTGCCATAGCTGGGGCATCCTCAGCTGTTGCATACTGTAACGGTGCAGACCAGAACAAGAACCGACCTCTCAACACAAAGTACAAGATACCGTAGCGGAAGACTTAGATACCAATGATCCGAACAATCAATATTGCAATGCAGCCCCGAACATACATCATCATCATCATTCCATGGTGTGAAGGGGTCTGGCGCTCACACAGGAAGATTGCGCCAGCCTTAACCATACACAGATGAAGAAGAGGGGGGTTAAACGAAGAAGAGGAGAAGATGGGAATGTTGTCGACACCAAGTCTTCAATAAAGGCCCGAATAGTCCCTCGTCAAAATGTCTGAATCCCAATGTCGAGTCTGGATCCAATGTCGTCAAGTCTCAAGTCACAACTCTCTCTCTCTCGGTAGTAGTCTGTTGATAATGAGAAGTCAGGTGGTGAGAGGGTGAAGAAGAGATAGTGGACTTAGAAGAGGAAGAAGAAGAACTCTCTCTCTCTCTGTGTCCAGTACTAACCTGTGAAGATGGCGCCTTGATGCAGGTACCTCGAAGATGGAGCTGGAGCTATGGCGCCACAGGTAAGTACCGCTGGCCTCCGCCAGCCATCTCTCTCCAACGCTACCACTACCAGCTACTAACGCCCTGCGCTGAAGACTACTCCTGCAGCTATGAGTGCCCAATGCTGAAGACTACTGCTAGCGCTAACTACTACTGCAGCGCTCCTCCTGAGTGCTGCGGCCGAATCCTGAAGACTACTCATGCCTACTGTCCAACTACCTACCCGTGAAGTGCATAGGAACTTCCTATGTACTACTCAGGTGCCTCCTGACTGCAGGGCGAGGCAGTCCAAGAGGCTGCTCTTGCCAATGCCGAAGGGAGTCCGGGGCTGCCGTTGCAGCTCCTGCTTGAGGCTGTCGTGGGGAACAGGCCAGAAATAGCCTGTTCCCGAAACCCTGTTTTTTTGCCTGAGTCTTAGGGTAGGTCGATCTTATGAGGGCCCGAAAGTGGCCCTCCGTTTCAGGCTGAAAAGCCTCAGGGATGAAAAGCCTTGTTTTAGGCTGAAACGACATAGGGCCTGCAGACCCTCGTTTTTCAGCCTTTCAGGCTGAAACGACAGGGGCTTGTAAGCCCTTATTTCTAGACTTTTAGGCTGGAAATGCGGGACGGGCCCTGCAGGCCCGTGTGGCTACGCAGTATGCCACACCCCCCCTCCTTGAAAGACCGAGCTTACCTGCGAGGGCGAAGCTGTCTGTCTGAGGGAGGGACCACAGTCCGGGTGGGAGGGGCAGGTCATGAAGGTCCCTGAGCTAACCTTTGTCGCTCGTAATGAGCGTAGATCAGCGGTGCGGATGCTTTCAAATTTGTTCCTGAAATCCACCGAGTGTCGTCGGGATCGCATGCTCTGAATGTAACTTTGTACTGTCGAGGCTTGTTCCCGTACTTGCGATCCGTGATGACGAGGTCAACCTCCTGATGACCATCCATAGATGGAGGGTCCTGCGATCGTCGGCATGGGAAGTCGTCGCTCTTAGCTGGTGTATATGTTGCCAGCTTCGAGGCGTGAAAGACTGGATGGACCGTCAGATGCGCCGGGATGTTGATCACAAATGAAGGGCCATTGGGCTCATCGCCCGCGGCTGATGTTACGGGCCATGGTCCAAACCACTTGGGAAGCAGTTTGCGTGAAACATCCTGTTCTAGTGCAAACTCTTCCGCGGAGACCCAAACCAGATCACCGGCGCGGATGGGACATGGCACACGACGCTTGTTGGCTTGCTGCTGCATGCGGACTTGAGCCTTTTGCATGTTCGCGCGAGCTTGAGCCAGCAATTCCCTGTACTTCCGGACGAAAGCGGGAGAGCAAGCGGCGTCGATATCGGCTGGTCGTGGGAGGAGAAGGTCGGCGAAGATAAGGCCTTTCCGTCCACCGTGGTGCAACTCGAAAGGAGTCACGCCGATCGCCGGGTGCACCGAAGTGTTGTAGGCGAACTCGATGTCGGGGAGGCGGTCAACCCAATCTTTCTGGTCCGGACGGATGAGCGTACGAAGCATCATTTGAATGGTTTGATGTGCCCGCTCCGTTTGCCTGCCCGTCTGTGGATGCTGAGCCTAACTTGGTTTCATCTTCGTGCCGGACTCCTGCATGAGAGCAGTCCAAAATGCCGACATGAAGCGAGTATCGCGGTCGCTGACTATGTCTTCCGGTACACCGTGGCCACAAATCCAACCGGTGTGCAAGAGGCGTGCCAGCTCGGGAGCCGTGGAGTAGTACTTGCAAGGGAGAAAACGCGCATACTTACTCAAATGGTCCACAACCGTGAGGATGCCATCGTGCCCGAGGCGATCGCGAGGAAATGGTCCGGTGACATCCATGGCAATGGAGAGGCCGGGTTCCCGGGTTCCCGTGGGATATACATCGGGCGCAACTCGCCGTAGGGATTGCGATTGTGGGGCTTGCTTCGTCGGCAAACTTCGCAAGAGTCGCAATACTGAGTGACATCGGTAATGAGGTCGGGCCATCGGAATCGTTGTCAAAGCCGTGCAATGGTGCGGTTTACTCCGAAATGGCCGGCGAGTCTCGAGTCATGATACTCACCGAGAAGGCAAGTCCGAAGACGACGGTCTCGTGGGACACACAATAAGTCCTTGCCTCTCGAGTGGAGGAGCAAGTACCCGTCGGCAATGCAATAGTGGCTGGCCGGCGGGTGATCCAAAGATAGTTGCGCATACAACGTGGCGAAGTCTGGATCAGACTCGTAGCCCCGGATGAAGTGTCGCTGAAGTTCCTCGTCGAATGCGAAGGCATGATGTGTCATAGCACAAAGATCAGGTTTTCGTGAGAGTGCATCTGCTGCGCGATTGGAGAGGCCGGGAAGATGTTTCGGTGTGAAGTCAAATTGGTCGATAAAGTACATCCATCGTCCGATCGTGCTGCTCACCGTACCCTGCGTCTTGTAGTAAGTCATCACCCAAGTGAACCTACGACGCCCAAGGAGGAAGTGCCGCCATCGCTTGAGAGTCATCACCAACACGAGCAACTCCTTCCTTGCATCATCAAGCGAGTTGATGGGAGGCACTTTGTGGCTGAAATACTCCACAGGGTGCCAGTCGTCATCGTCGTGTTGTTCCAAGACTGCCCCAATGCCATAGCCGGAAGCGTCAGTTGTCACTCTCGTAGGCAGGGTGGGATCATAGATGCTAAGGGCGGGTGCCATGACCATGACCGTCTTAAGTGCTTGGAATGACCGGCGTGCGTCGTCATCGAATACGAATGGCACCTTTGGCGATTGTAATCTCGTCATAGGTGCAGCAATCCTTGAGTATCCGGTGATGAATCGCTGATAGTAGCCCGCCAATCCCATGAATGAACGAACATCCGTGGTGTTGGTGGACTCGGGCCATACACGGAGGGCCTCGATCTTGTCCGCAAGCGGACGGATGCCTTGCGGTGTCACATAATGTCCCAAGTAACCCAGCTCCTGCTGCACGAATTCGCATTTGTCGCGGTTGGCTTTGTACTTGGCTTGTCGTAGCCGCTCCAAAACGGTGCGCAGGTGTTTCACATGATCGTCCAAACTCCGGCTGTACACCAGGATGTCGTCGAGGTAGATAAGTACGAATCGATCCAGCATGTGTCGGAACTCTGTTGTCATAGCCGCTTGGAAAGTGGCCGGGGCATTCGTAAGGCCAAATGGCATAACTAACCATTTGAAATGCCCATATCGCGTCTTAAACGCGGTCTTGTAGCGGTCCTCCTGCCGAATCTCGAGTTGGTGATATCCCGACGTGAGGTCGAGCTTGGAGAAGAACTTGGCGTCGCCCAGCCGTTCGAGAAGGTCGTCGATGTGTGGAAGAGGGCCGGCGTTTCTGATCGTTTGCATGTTGAGCTTGCGATAATCGATGCATAGCCGTAAATCCTTGTTCTTCTTCCGGACGAAGAGAACAGGAGCACCATATGGCGATGAGCTAGGCCGAATCCAACCTTTCTCCATAAGGTCGTCGAGTTGTGCCCGAAGCACACTTAACTCTTCCTCGCTCATTCGGTAGATCCAACCGCGCGGAGGTACGGCCCCGTCCTCGAGGATGATCTCGTGGCGGATGGGCCGATCCGGTACTACTCCGTGCGGGCCTTCGAACACGTCGCCATAGGCGTCGAGAAGCTCGGTGATGCGTGGGTCCGAAGATGAGTCCGTCAATGAAGCGTCATGTGGCGGGAGGGCGTGGAGAAAACACACCCCCATCTCCTCGATGTTGTCTCTGATGATGGAAGCTCGCATGCTTGCGGCGGACACCACGTGATAGCTGATTGAAGGGTGAGGAGGAGCTACCGTGCATGGGACTAGTACTCCATTCCAATCACGAACGTGAACGGTGCGGTGGTAGAAGTTCACCGGGTAATCCTCGCTTCGCAGCCATGATATGCCCAAGATCATGTCGAATTTGGTATCCAAAATATCGAAGGACACCGCCTCGCTCGCGTGCAGGGCAAAGTACACGGGGACGTCATCAATGCACCGGTCTATTGACTTGTGCGTGTGACCGTCCGCCAACGTGACTTGCGTCGGCTGGGACTTCCTCCGGTCGCGTGGGCCAAGGCCGGCGCGTACCATAAAGTCTTGGCTCATGTAGTTGCGAGATGCTTCGCAATCGATCAAAGCGCTGCAGGTCGCCTCTCGGATCTGAATGCGTACATATAACAATGGTGCGTCAATGTCGTTGTACCGTTGTGTCTTGAACTCCCGGCCGATCTTCACAATGTAGGCGTGAAGGTCGACAACCTCTACTCCGGCGTCCATCAACGAAGTTGGTACTGCAGTGTGCAAGTAATCCCGCAATTGTGCCATGAGCACGTTGCAATGCGGTTTCGGCAATCGACCGGATCGGGGAAGGGGCATCCATTGGAAGTCCGCAAATGTCAACGGGTCGAGCTCTTCAAGTCTTGACCATGACGTTGAATCCCTGGCAGTAGATGGCAACGAAGCTGCCGAATCGGTTGCCGATGGTGATGAAACCGTGCATGCGGTAGATTGTTGCACGTGGGGCGGTTGGTCCAGCGGTGGGACCAAGTGGACAGCATAATCCTCGTAAGCATACCGAGAACTTACGACATTCGCATCCTCCCCAGATGTGTAGGAGGCCGCTAGCAAGGCGGCCGAATCTGGCGGAGTGAGAGGTGGAGTCGTCTCACCTCCCGCGCAACTCAGTTTCCCGAGTTGATGCGAGGTCGAACATCCTCCTTGCCCTGATCCTGGCAGAGGGAGGTCTTGTGCTTGGTGCTATTGCACCAATAGCAGCAGCCGTAACGGCCGCGGTACTTGTACTCGGCCTCGGTCAAGTGAAACTTGACCCATGGTGCTGGCTGTCCGTTTTCGGTCGGTGATGCGGTTTTCGCCTTCCCGTTCCCTCGGGACTTGTTGTTGCTTCGCGGCTGGACAACATCCACCTGATCTGCCTCACGTGACGCTTGGGTGGCTGCCGGGTCTTCCACAATGTTGTCCGATTGGACTGCAGCGAACTGCTGCGGTCGCGGACCAGTTTTCACCTTCTCCACATAGGTTGACTGCCACATTGACTTCTCGTGTGCAGCCGCCCTGTTGGTCTTGATGATCTCCCTCGCCTTGTCAATGATTTCAGCAAAGGTTGCTCGCGATCACCAAGTGCAAGGCTCGATGCAGAACATGACCTGTTGTAGAACTCGCGGCGCAGATGCGAAAATGGCAAGTCGAGACCGGGCCTTACCAGCATATGGGCGACATCTTCAGGTACTTCAGGTTGCCGCTGATGTCAACAGTTGCATTGTCTATTATTAGGCTGATAGTAGTTGTGTAGGAGTAGGCTGGGCGCTGAGCGCCAAGTAGGAGTGAGAAGGGACTGGACTCTTGTGTTGCTGAAGGAGAGAGAAAGCTCTCCATGACATTTGTTTTCAGTACTACGAACCTCCATTGGTGTATTATTGGTGCAATGCTGCTCTCTGGACACAGTGTGACTATCTGGCTTTTTATGTGATGGTGTAATCTGGATTTGTCATCTCGCTGTTGCTTATTTTCCTTGCAGAATCCAAATTGGCCCTGAAAAAAAAAAAAAAAAAAACCTAAATTGGGGGAAAAAAAAGAAGAAAAACGATACGTGTCAGGTAGAGGCTCAATTCGTGTGTCCTTCAAGTTCCCATTGGCTCCGCTCGTAGACCAACAAAATCGGAATGAATCTTCCCCTTAAACACTGAATGATACATAGAAGCCGTGCGCCTGAACCAGTCCCATCTGCTGCTATTTTTTTTGGGTGAGCTGACGACATCCCCCCAACCCCGCCGTTGATAGCTCGTCTGACATTCACGGTCACACTTAGGGGGAAAGAGAAAAGGGAAAAACAAAAGAAAAAAGGACGGAAAAAAAAAACCCATCCGGATACAAGTACCGGTCACCTCCTTTGAACGGCCAGTCCCCCACTGTATGTCTGCTGTCCATTAGCTGCTCTCGCACGAAGCAAAGAGGCTCGGTGGCTCGCTAAAAGAATAGTTCGGGAAGGGTGCTTTGGGGGTACTGGTGGTTTAACTGGGATGAGATGCTTCCCAAGGTAGCCAGTGCATACAATAACAGCATGCATTTAGCAACTTGTTGCACTCCCAATGAGTTACATAAGTCCTTTAGACCGCGTAGACCGTTTGAGGGACTGAACCGGGATCAGATTCAAAGGCTATCGCCCAGTACTGGGGAGTTTGCACTACACTATGAAAAGGAGACTGCTACCGTCACAGAGAACCTCAGGAAGGCCCAGCATAGAATGGTAGAGCAAGCCAATAAGAACCGTCACCCATCACAGTTTCAAGTAGGCGACTTAGTCTGGGTCAAGTCCAAAGAGTTTGCCCCTGAGGAGAATATCTCGCGGAAACTGTTACCTGCGTATAGAGGACCGTGGCCAGTCTTAGAAGTCAAGGGCGGAGAGGACGGACCGTCCTACATAGTCGAGATTCCAGCACATCTCCACACCTACCCAGTTTTTCATGCGTCAAAGTTGTTGCCTTGTACCACAAGTCAACAGTTTCCATCACGGAGGCCTACGATCCCTCCGGACATGGATGGAAGGTACGACATTGACAGCATTGTAGGTGAAGATGTGTTCAGAACAGGAGGTAGAGGTCGTCCACAGAAACAGTACAAGGTTCTATTTGCCTTTCAAGAGCCGGGAGACAACCGCTGGTTTACCTGAACAGAGCTTCTAGAGACCACTCCCGATATAGTCCGAGCCTACGAGAGAGATAGAAAAGGGAAAGGTCCTGCCTTGGACTAAAGTATTCTTCGAGTCGACCCCTGGGTGTTTGAACCCGTGACCTGTGTTTTAGTAGTTGACTGTACTCTGTCGTAGGTCTGTGTAGCCGTAGAGGTTCGATCTGTAGGTCTGTTGAGTAGGGGTCGTAGCTGTGTAGAGGCCGTAGCTGTAGCAACTCTGAAAGGTCAAGGTTGTAGCTGCTACAGTCCTGAAAGGTCAAGGTCGTAGCTGCTACAGTCCTGAAAGGCCAAGTCCACAGACTTCCGGAAGGTCTGGAAGTGGCCTTTCAAGTTTCTTCTCACGTTACCCACAGCAGACCAGAGGCAAGTGGGCAAGTGGTGAGTCCAACTTCGCTTAGTCAGCAGTACCCAGTCCCAGTCTCACTTTGTACAATCAGCAAGTACCATGAGGGACTGTGTGCACCATGGGCCCGGTGGAAAAGGGCAGATCAGCGACTTACAGAAGTATAAATCAAGAGGCAGCGTCCAGCCATTCTTTCATTCCTGCATGAGCCATGCGGAAGTGCTGCCAAGGCGATTTGTGCGAGGTGGTCTGCAGATGCCCGGAGTCGAAGTGGGCCGAAGGAAGAAGATAGCATCAAGTACTAGTGTTAGTAAGTGGCCATAGCCGCCATAGCTTAGCAGCTGGTGGTTAGCGAGTAGACAGGTGTGTTTGAGGTACAGTGTATGTGAGCGTGTGGGATATCCAGAGAGATCCAGAGTTGAGTGCGTGTGAACAGTGGATGTAAACTCTGAGTTGACAAGTGAAGTGAAGACGAGTAAGCACCATAGCTATTCTGAATCGAGTTTGTATCTGAGTTGTGTGGCCGCCCAGCGCCAGTGCGGTGTGCCATCTGTTTGCATGCATGTAAAGTGGAAAAGAAGCAAGTCTGATTGCAGATTTATGTGTGTCATCCTTGTGCAGGGGCCATGCTAATCTTCTCTGTATCGTTCCAATTTTAACGGATGTCCCGAAGGACGATTCGATGAGATTTTTTACTCTGAGCATGTTTTGCTTTCACCAAGAATCCGTGATAACGTGTGATATGTGCTGAGTCCGATTCTGTGTTTGTGTTCTAACAAAAAGTTACATTGGTAGGGCTAAAATTGGATGCCAGACGGACTTAGACGAAATTCTGGGACATACAGCGACAAAAGTAGAATCTGATAGGGGGATGATGATCCAAGGACCGAATGTCAGTAGATATCATCTCAGAACCAGTTTATGTAGATGAGTTGGAGGAGCTTCTGGTAGGAACTATTGCTACTGGCAGAGGCGGAGAGAGGCTGAGTAGAGGCACTGGAGGCCAAGAGTGCCCGAGTAGAGGTACTGGAGGCCGGGAGTCAAGAGTATATCATTCAGGGCAATGAGTGGTCTGGCCATTCACCCTGCAGTCATGCTGCAGCTCCGCTCTAAGGAAGAGTTAGGCAGAGTGCTGGGTTGAAGGAGGTCAGGGAGAGGAAGAAGTCTTGGCTATGCAGGTAAGGCCTAGGCTATGGAGGTCAAAGACTTTACCTATGCTATGGAGGTGGAAGAGCGGAATAGAGGTATAAGAGAAGGATGAAGAAGGGAGCTGAAATGGGAGACTTACCTTTGGCAATGGTGGATCTTCATCTGCAATTCCTTGGTTCGTGGAGCATCGGGAAGGCCCGCGTTGGGGTACCGGTTGGACATAAACTTCACACGGGATCGTGGATATGCCAGAATGAGATAGGAGGGTTCTTTGGTTGCTAGCCATAGGGAGGATAATTCATTTATTATTTTAGTAATTGCTTATAAGATAGGGTGGCAATTACGGGAGGAAGACTATGATGACAACAGGAGGGAGATTCCATTTGAATCAATCTTGTGCTCTTCTTCTTAGTCTTTCATTCGAGAGATGGTTAACAGAGGTCCGAAATCCGCCATTTTTGCAACATCACCACAAACAACATAGTAAAATACTTTGGGAATAAATTATATGGGCTCCTCGCAATGAGCACACCATGCATGGAACACCCGAACACAAGTCCAAAAACAGTCTCAGTAGCCAACACCAAACTTGGTCTTCTTCTTCCTCACCGCCAACTATGCCTGCTCAACTCCACATGCAGGTAAGCCTCTCTCTCTTCTTCCTCTCTCACATATTCTTCCTCTTCATCACCCCCAACTTTGCGACCAACGCTGTTGACTACACCGCCCTACGCTCACTCCCATTGTCTCAGTTGGCTCTCCAACGCACAAGCCCACAGCAGCGCTTCCGCATTGAGTGCAAAGCATATGTGTTGACATCCAAGTTTTGCTGAACGTTTGTACTTAGTGATCTGCCTTCCAGACTTCTTCTGCTGGTTATGGGTTGGTTCCCTTCCATTTGTTTGCTGCTTCCAAAACCAATTCTCCTTGGATCTGGCTGCTTGCTAACAACTTTTGTTATCTTGGCTGAAGCTGGTGGTACCTTCCTGAAAATAGTGCTAGGAACGAACCCCTCACAAGGGCCCACAGCAAGCATTGTGCCCGCCCTAAGTGAAGCGGGCCTGGAATTGCCCTCCAGCCTATTTTTGGCCTTTTCTTTCAGCCCTGTGAGTGCCAGACAGTTACTGAGCGCAGGTTTGTCACTGGGCTCAAGCATGCTGTTTGACCGTAGACACGTGAGCCTACTAGGCTCTTCCGGTCAGCGACGTGGCCCAAGGCCTCTCTGCCAATCAGAAAGCAGCAGGTGACGAGAGCCACGTCATACAGTTTAGCGGGGCCGCTATCTAAATGGTCCTGGGCGCAGACACTTTGTTCCCGATGTCAGGCTACTGGGAACTCGGCTCCAGGCCCAGGCTGCTTGAAGGAGGGCAGCACTTTCCATATAGGAAAGTGCCCTGCACCCAGCCAGGTATTCTGGCTTCGCACTTCCTTGCAGCCACGCTGCTGGGCTGAGTGCTGACTGGCCGCTGGGGCGAAGCTAGGGTGCACGCGGGCACTACAGAGAAGGAGGGCGCTGCAAGCAGGCAGCGGGCGCGAGGCGGCCTTAGCCAGGCAGGCCTCGTGGGAGCTGGTGATGGTGATGGTGGTCTTTGGGTTGGAGATGCACACTGTGGAGGGGAGAGAAGGTGATGAGCGGGAGAGAGAAGGGAAACATGCCTGATGTGTATGTGGTGGTCTGCATTGGCGACTCCTTCATGTATGTTGGTCTTCGACTGGAAGTGTTTCCTGGTCGCTTCGTCATTTAGTTGTACTGTTGTAGGCTAGTATAGGTTCTGAGTAGTGGTAGGCTGAGCACTGAGCCCCAATCAAGAAGAGCGGCATTGGATACATTGTTGATAGTGGCGAGATGGGGCTACATTTACATTCGAGTTCATTGCATTGGTCGTATTTGGCTTGTATCTCGGTACAATCTGCTTTCTGCTTGGGACACGACTATCTGGTCTTCAATGTGATATTGCAATATATTTTTATGTCTATCGATCTCACTCATTTTCCTTGCAATTTGGTATTGGAGCTGGTTCAGATATAGTCGCACCGGTGCTGGTGTTTGGGTTACTTGGTGCGTTGACGGGGCTTCTTCGCAGTAAGGATACTTGGACTTCTGCTTCGACAACGTATGTTCCTGGCTGGAGAGGAATGGGCGTGACATTTGTGTTAAGGTGGCCCTGCATTGTATTGTGGTTGGTACCGAGGCTACGACCGGTCATCAAAATACATGTTGGCTCAATTGGCAAGAAATATGTGGTTGGGGGCATTTATCTTGAGGTACGTTGTAGGGCCCCACTCTGTTAGACTTTCAAGACTTGTCAACCCCTTCCTCTGCCGTGGAAGCGGTCGTAGTTGGCTCAGCCCCACCCGTGTACATATCAAGGGCGCGGGGCGTTTCATCACAGGGTCACCCCCACCTAGTGCTTTGAGATGGATGGGGTGGTCCATTGAGCAAGAGAGCTTTGGTATTGGGGAATGTAGCTCAGCCCTCACGCCGGGTGGGTAGTCTCGTTGATCTAGTCAAATCGTCAATTTTTTGTTCCATATTGTGCTCTCAAGCAATTCCTCCTTCCAACACTCACGCATTCCAGGGAATAGGTTGAGAGTTCCTCTTCTTTTTCCAACGTGGACTGAGCGTCCTCCCTTGGGCGCTCATTCATTTCATACATGTAAGGTCACACAACTTTTGAGGCGGGTGACTCACCCCTCAACTATTACAGGCCGGTCTGGATGCTCGGCCTTCCCACATCACCAAGGTGYCGCTGGTTCCTCGCCTCTTACCTCATTTTCCTTTTCTTTTCTCGTCTCGTCAGGAGGAAACGCCTCCGTCGTTCATGTTGGCTCTACTACTTGTGCAGTTCTCTGAACCAGCATCTCGCTGGCGAAGCTACCATCCGTACTTGATTCTCAAGACCCAAGTTTTTTTAGTTTTCAATACGCCCGTTAGTTCTTTCGGGGGCCCTCCCACACATTCTCGAGACTTCATTATTCCCTTGCACATCCATCCTGACTAGAGCAAGTTTCCCTCCCCGAATCTCTTGCCCCAAACATAGGGTGCTACACTTTAGGCATAAGTGGCGAGTCATTCATAGCAAGGGTCCCGTTCATAATCCGTTCCTTTCATCAATCTTTTCATCGTTGTTCAGCCTCCCTGGGCACCCAATCTTGCACAAGGCAATCTTGATCTACCACTTACCTGCACACGTAGCATAAACA